ATTACCCTACATTTTTTTAATTGGATGAATGAAACATTTTTTCAGTGTATATTTGAATGTTGAGCAGCGAGCTCATTGGAGCGAACCAATCAGCTGTGCCATGTGATGATGTCATTAGGTCAGATTGAGTTAGACCTATCGGACTACGCCATCTAGAGTTTCATGGCAGAACTCTGTGTGTATATATATATATATATATATATATATATATATATATATAATCTGTCTTCAACAGAGCAATTAATGTACAAGCTAAGCTCTCTGAAAATAAATTACTCCCTCTGAAATGTATTTCTAATTACTTTCTAAATCCTTTATCATCCTCGTCCAGTTGAACAACACAATTCAAATAAACAATATAAAATTGCATAAACTATTCCTGAACTGGCCAAAGTAAAATGTTACATTAAAAATGTACATTTTAACATTAGATGTTAAATTTTGATGTTAAATTCATTATTGTTTTATATCGAATTGTTTTATAGTTAGTATAGAGTATTATATCAGTTACATCAGAAGTAAATTACACAAAAAAAATGTAAGAGTAATCCCTTACTTTATTTTTCAAGGGAAACGTAATTAAATTACTGTCATTTATTACTTAGTTATGCATTACACCCAACATTTATATATAAATACATGCTTAAACTGATATTTTCAGTCTCTTTCTGGAACAGATGCAGATTTTTGCTATTTTTATTTATGATCTTAATAATAACCGCTACTTATGAACATGGTTTCATTTTATTGTGTTTGCCTTACAGGTGAGGACAGACGCGCCTAATAACAGACACACACATGAGTCACTTCAGTCACGTGAGTAGATGAGATAAAGTCTTACACAGAGTTTAAGTATATAAGGAAGTGTAAAGGCAGGTTTCGGACAAACACTTTATAATGAACCATATTTCCCATACAGTAGTAAAAGATCCCTAAAGCAGTGCTCACCGTTACACACCTACTAAGCAAACAGATGTGATATGACAGCGTTGAATTGACTTTCAGTAACTTAACCGCAATTCCTCCTTTGAACTATCCCTGGGCAAACCCCGTGGAGAGTTCAAAACCTTTGCAGAGATTGTAAAATAAATGACTGGATATTGCGGTTCATATATAAACGTGATCATGCAACGCAGTGTCGGGACAGTGTTGTGCTTTGCTGCGCCCAACCAGTCTAGACACGCAGCTCCAACCCTCATATGACTGTCATCATCTGTACAGTGTCCAGCAGAATCATTCATCTAATAAATCAGGTGCATCTGTGCACCTGGAAAAATTTGCTCTGGAATGTGTGCGAACAGCTTTTGTATTCACCTGCAAAGCAAATGGTGCGATACTCTGTTATGCTCATTGAAAGTGAGGTAATATCATTCCAGACAGTGTTGAGAGTGGAAATAAAGTGGGAAGAGAGTGATTTGAATATCAAATAGCACTGCAGAGCAGTTGTTAATCAAGACCAAGTCAAAAAGACAGAGCATGGACTTTCCACTTGTGTTGGATTTCAAGGGCTTGATGAAAACAGAAATAGGTGACTGAGTTCTCGGCCAAAGTGGCTAAGAGCTGTTCAAGTGAGTGTGGTCTGGGAATTGCATGGTCACATGATCTCGCTAGGGTTTATATGAACTGGATTGCGAGTCATTGGATGTGAGTGGATATGAGAGACGGGTACAGGCATAGCACTCAGAAATAGTGGAGTGGAGCTCCTCAGAGACAGCTCAGCTTTCACAGTTAAAGGGATAGTTCAACCTAAAATGGGTCATTATTTACTCACCCTCATGTTGTTTCAAACTTAGCCTATATGAGGTTCTTTCTTCTGTTAAACACTGGAGAAGATATTTTGAAGAATGTTGGTACCCAAACAGTTGCTGGTAGCCATTGACTTGCATAATATGGAAGAAATTACTATGGAAGACAATGGCTACGGTCAACTGTTTGGGTACCAACATTCTTCAAAATATCTTCTTTTGTGTTTAATAGAAGAAAGAAACAAGGCAGTTGCTAAGATGCTGTGGATGGTTGCTAGGGTATTGCTTTGGGGATTCTAGGCAGTTGCTAGCACATTGTGGATGTTGTTTCTAGGGCATTCTGGTTGTTTTTAGAGAGCTGCTGTGCAGTTGTTAGGGTGTTCTGGGTGGTTGCTAGGCTAGGCAGTTGTTAAGATGTTGTGGGCTGTTGCTATAGTAGGGCCCTGTGATTTTTCCCAAATTCAGTTTTTTTTTTTTTTTTTTTTTCTTTTCAAATTCCGGTTTGTCCGTTTTAATTTTTCTGGATTCCGTTTTTTTATGTTTTCATTTTTCTAAACTCTGTTTTAATGGTTAAATTACATTTTATTAATCAAAATAATTAATTGAAATCATGAAACTTGCACAGTTTAACAAAAAATTACATTTTAAGGCTCTATGAAATATGTTTTCTCAAATTAATTTTTTTAACCAAATTCTGTTTTCCATTAATTTTCTGGATTCCATTTTAATGGTTTCATTCTATTTTAGTAATCAAAAGCATCTCTAATTAATTGATTTTATTTAAAAAATAATTTCATTATTGTTTTATTTATTTATTTTTTCTTTCAGAAATACTGTGTTGTATATTTACATTTTTCTGGTAAATATTTTTTCTGGTAAATATTCATTAAATTATGTTTTAATAATAATTTTATTAGTAGTAGTAGTACTATCATTAAGTAATATATTTCTGTCACAGTTTCTTCAAGTTAAAGCGAAATTTCATTTTGATGGGTTGCTATGAAGACGTTCAAGTTTCTGTTTGTATATGATATGATTTTCTCAAAATAAATGGTCAAATAAAGCAATAAGCCCCAAGAAGCCGTGGTTTACAGTGAATTTATAACAGCTAAGGGGCGTTGTTAGGCACGACCCTTCACGGGGCTTATTGCTTTTATAAAACGGTTATTCCATATATGTAGCAGGGTTTCACAAAATAAAACAAAGCAAATAAAATGTAATGATATTAATAAAAACATTATTCTTCCACCAAACAATGTAGTTCCTCAGAAACGGTTGTGGTTGCAACAAAGTGGTTGCCGAGCAACACACAGACGTAAACAAAGGTGTATGTTTGTAGAGTAATTTACAACAGCTTAGAACGTGGCTCAACCAATCAGAATCAAGGACAGGAACTATCCGTTTTATAATGCTCATGAAGTGACTCTCAGAACAGTTCTAAAGATTATATTAATGTGTTCAGAGGCTGAAATCACCGCGAGCATCACACACGCTCAGTATGTGTGTAGTAAACGAAACTGCATGTCAGCGCGAGACATGCAGAACATGCAGGATTCATATCTAAATAGTATATTTGCGGCTTAATATTCACAGACATTAGTCCATATCGTGCTTTTATTTAAGTGTACTGGCTTACTTTTGATCTATTCAACCAAAATTTGCCAAATTCCGTGACATTCTGCGTTATACAGGAAATTCCGTTTTCTTGACCTGATTCCGCGATTCCATCTGCGTTTTTCGCATCGCGGAAATCATAGGGCCCTACTTGCTATGGTTGCTAGGATGTTGCTAGTGTGTTTTTCGGTGGTTGCTAGGGTGTTGCACTTCAACTCCACTCTACTTAAAAACTCGATTTCCATTTATAATTTCTATTCTATTTCCAGAATAATAAAGATGAAGATTACCTCAGTCTGTGCAGGATTTATACCATTTGGAGGAGGCTAATGCTTCAATAAATTTCAGATTAAAACTAACAAGCTAGTTCTGGATCTGGTTGTCAAGGGGTCTAGTCTTGCTTTTGGTCTTATAAAGGGTCTTATAATGACTTGCATAAACCAGTCTGGACCACCAGTGAATTCATACTAGCTCAAACTGGTTACACTAACAGTAAGCAGCTCTTAAACGCCCCCATAAAGAGTTTTCAGTATGTAATTGTAGATAATTCTAGTTTTTTAGTGAATCAAAAACTGCCGTTTCAGTTCTGTGCACAAAATCGCTCTGTAATTCTCTCCGCTGTCAGACGAAGACTTCAAGTCAAAAGCAGCTTGGTTATCGCAAGCATGAGAATAAACAAAGCCGCTATCTGATTTCTGTTATCTGTGTGCAGAAATGCAGGCAAAGCAGGTTGAGAGCGATAAACGCAGTGACGATAATCAGAAGCACTTGGTACAAGGAGCCCGTGAGGCCCGTTGCTAATGAGGACCAGACAGAAGACATAAATAATGAGCTTCCATGCAAAAACCAACAATACTCAGGAGTTTCCCATCCCATATTTGTAAAGATCTGCCTTCCTGACTCTAAAAGTGATTCTTCAGTACCTGCGTCACTTTGACTTCCCTCTTTGTGTCAGAATGACCTGACTTCCACTCCTTTCCATGCTCAAGGTTTGTTGTTTGTGCACATTTTATGGCTTCCCATATGGGCCCCATGTGTCGGTATGTGTCTTTGCCTGTAAAGAGCTTGTAATCTGTGTTTGTTCACCCACATGTACATGTTTTGTATCTATAGCAATCATTTGCTCATCATGGGCATTATGCATAATGGAAAGCTTTTTCCATCCCTATAGGTTTAGGAAAAAAGCAGCTGTTTCATCACAACTCCAGCATTCAGAGTTTCCCAATTTTATAGCGCCAACACCCACTTTACAACTTTTCCATTTTGCTCTCCCTCACCATGTCTCCCTGCCAGCTGTAGCGTCGCATCTTGAGAAACCAATCCATCACATCCAGTGCAGATTGCGACAACATTCGTGCAGCTACTAACCGTGAACGAGGGTTCCTGATGTATTTACGGCATTCCAAAACCTCGGAAAGAACTCCTCACTGGAAGAGGAATTTAAAAAAAAAAGGCTATTATATTCATGGACAAATACAATGAGGCCCTTGTGTCCTCTTCTGGTGTCCGCTAAAGGATCCTTTATTTAGAGCGTGTTTGTGCTAGAACTGATCGTTTTGAATGGAAACCACATAATGTCTGAGGTTAAAACTAGTAAAGCTCCCATGACCTTTTTCATTCAGCTCAGATTTAGTCATCTGTCGTGTGAGTAAGAGTGGATAAAAGGGCACAGGGCGGACTTACTGTACTGACTTAATGTCAATGGGTGACAGCTTATTTTCCCATGAGAAGAAGCAGCAGCAGACGTTGAAAAGAGGATCTTAATGCAGAGGGGCGTTTATAAATGCACACACATGCACAAGGATGTCCTGAACGCTCACAGTGCAATCAGATGAATCATATTTCTCTGAGCTATAATGGCATTAACTTAATGGTATTTTCTGTTATGCTGTATTTAGTTTTAAAAATATTCTCGGTTCAATGCAATTTAAGCTTAAAAGGCAGAAAACAAAACAAAAAAACATAAGAAGTCATTGTTTATATATATATATATATATATATATATATATAAACATATATATATTCAGATGTATATCTTAAATAAATAAAAAATAAATGCAACAATGTACTATATAATTACATTATCTACATAATATAATACATAAATATGTTATCAATTATTGGAATAAAAACAATATTTTAATATAGAAAATATATATATATATACTGAACAAAATTATAAACGCAACACTTTTTGCATTAGTCAACACTTTGTTCAGTGTGTATATATATATATATATATATATATTCATTATTAATTACTATATATATAGATTTTTTTTTTTTAAATATGCTTAACACTCCACATTTATTATTATTGAAAGAAACTATATAAATACAATTGTAATAGTAAATAATATTTAAAACAGTTTCTGGTTTAATGGTATTAACATCTTATTTAAAAACTATCAATAAATAAAGCTGTATTGTTTTATGATGTTAAACTGAACAATAAATAAATAATAAATCAATAATAATGGTAAATATTATTTGAACACTTTCTAGTTTCAATTCAAATCTTATGGAAAGACTTTAAATATATAAAGCTGTATTGTTTTATGATGTTTATATATATATATTTTCAAAAATTATGCTTAACACTCCACATTTGTGATTATTGAATTAAACTGATTTTATTTATTTATTTCTCTAAGGCCAATTTATATAGTTTATGTTAAGGGTTGTTTTTTTGTATTGTATGCATAAATATGCATGTGTGTTACTTAGCATATAACAAAACTTGTGCATATTTTAAAACTGAATAAAAATTAAATCACAAAGAAGCAAAAAATCAAGCTGAGGCACTTAAAATAGATGTAAATTAGACCAAATTTAAAAGCAGATATGTACATTTAATTTCATGAAAACATTTATATTAATTAATCTGACAAGACAATAAAATTGTATAACTTTGTAACGAAAAGGTTAATAGCAAGTTCTTCACACTAAAATGTTTGGTGGCTATATAATTTTGACTATTTGAACATGTTCGGATCAGCTACATTTATTTTCATTGTAAATGCCTCACTGTAACAGATTTTTGCCTATGTTTTAGAGAAATAGGGACATGTAGAAATGCATTTTTGTAGTTATCAACATTATTCAACAAGTGCTGCTGATTGAGCTTAATTTAACTCAGTGAACATATTTTTTCTCCAATAATATCTTAGTATAGACATAAATTGTTGACAGAGTATATATCATATCTCATATACAGTAGCTATAGTACTAACGTGGATAGCAGCTCAAATCATTTTGTCTTGGACAAATTTGAAGACAAATGTGAGATTGCTGGTATTTGATTGCAGGTATCTTGCATATTTGGGCACAAATAATGTCTTTTACCCAAATATACAGCAAAGTCTCCATTCAATCTCCCTGATCTGTCAAGAAGAAACATTTAAGATGTCTCAGTCATTTATGATGGGAACCCCTTTTTCACTCTGCATTTTTCCCATTCCCCGAAGTCATCATTAGTTCCTCACATGTTGTCATGCGTTTCAATGCAATTTTGCATTTTCCTCATCTTGGCCACAGTCTTATACAGCTGCGGTTTTCTTTTATATCTCTTCTTAGACGTATCATGACCTATTCTTCCACTCCCCACCCCCATCATTCCCAAAAGACTCTCCAGCTGCCTTCTTTTCCATAGAAACACACGTATACACAATCACACACAAGACTCACTCCGTATCGGCTTTCTTCACGTGTGTAAAGAGGCCAAACGGGTCTTATGGCTTGATATATGCTGCTTCGGTGTTGGTACAAGGCCGGTTGTGTGCCGCGAATCATCTTTTTAGTGTGTTTACTTTATCTGACTAAGCGGATGTCAAGAGGGTGAATTTAGTTTATATTGCCTTTGATTGGGCGCCAAATTCCCCAAGAATCCCCCTTTGCTGCGACGGCCTGTCTCGACAGATTTGGCTGCGGATGTACTGAAAACACACACTTATTGTAGAACAATGGTTGCTAGGACAGATCTTTATAAGTGTGTGTGTGCGTCTCAGGTCGGGAGGTGGAAAACCTCTGCTCTGTTATCTCTCAGCAGATGACAGGGAGATGACGGTAAACCCAATGCACTTTTAGCTTTGAACAAACAGCTTTAGCACCTTTCTTCTGTTTGCCTTGGCTTTTCTGCTCTCTAGGTTAAATGCAAGTGCGACCGAGCGTGTCGTTGGCGTTGTATCAGGCTGATGGGAATGAGATGGAGTAGGTGTCTAAACAGTTACATTTGAAAATCTGAGAAATGAAAAGGATCTCACTTAACTATAAGCTCAACTAAACACTAAGCTAAGATAAACTAACTATGCCAAAAGATAAGACTCTACAGAAGCATGAAAATAACTGAATAAGAATTATTCATTCATTCATTGCTGTTTAACATATACAGCTTTATATATTCATACAGTCTTTCCATAAGATTTGAATTGAAACTAGAAAGTGTTCAAATAATATTTACTGTTAATATTTATTTATTTGTTATTTATTTATTGTTCAGTTTAACATCATTAAACAATACAGCTTTATATATTGATAGTTAATTAATAAGATTTTCCATGAAACCAGAAAGTGTTTAAATATGATTTACTATTACAATTGTATTTATTTATTTATTTACTTATTTATTTACATAATTATTTATAGATAAGTTTGTTCTACTATTATTTTTTATTCGGTTTAACATCATAAAAAAATACAGCTTTGTATATATTTATAGTTTTTCCATAAGATTTGACATAAAACCTGAAAGTGTTTAAATATTATTTATTTTTTATTTTTCCATAAGATTTGACATAAAACCTGAAAGTGTTTAAATATTATTTATTTTTTATTTTTCCATAAGATTTGACATAAAACCTGAAAGTGTTTAAATATTATTTATTTTTTATTTTTCCATAAGATTTGACATAAAACCTGAAAGTGTTTAAATATTATTTATTTTTTATTTTTCCATAAGATTTGACATAAAACCTGAAAGTGTTTAAATATTATTTATTTTTTATTTTTCCATAAGATTTGACATAAAACCTGAAAGTGTTTAAATATTATTTATTTTTTATTTTTCCATAAGATTTGACATAAAACCTGAAAGTGTTTAAATATTATTTATTTTTTATTTTTCCATAAGATTTGACATAAAACCTGAAAGTGTTTAAATATTATTTATTTTTTATTTTTCCATAAGATTTGACATAAAACCTGAAAGTGTTTAAATATTATTTATTCTTTATTTTTCCATAAGATTTGACATAAAACCTGAATGTGATTAAATATTATTTATTTTTTATTTTTCCATAAGATTTGACATAAAACCTGAAAGTGTTTAAATATTATTTATTTTTTATTTTTCCATAAGATTTGACATAAAACCTGAAAGTGTTTAAATATTATTTATTTTTTATTTTTCCATAAGATTTGACATAAAACCTGAAAGTGTTTAAATATTATTCATATTTTATTTTTCCATACGATTTGACATAAAACCTGAAAGTGTTTTACTTTTTCATTACGATTGATTTGACATAAAGCAGTACAATATTATATATGTATACAGTTGATTTATAAAGAATTTATACAAAACAGTTGTTTTTATTTGTTTATCTAAATAGTTATTCATTTATTTCAGTTGTACATCATAAAACTAGTTAAAAATAATACAATATTGATTATAAATGGAATATATTCAATTATTATTTTTATTATTTACTAGCAATATAATATATTTAATAGATATTATTGTTGTTGACTTATTCAGTCTATCATCTATATTTTGTATGCTGCAAATGTTTTTCATTTGGAGCGCTTTGTGAATCTCTGTTTGTATTTTCTGTTTCTATGAGTTATGAATATTGGGCGTGTTGCACCACAGATGGTTTTACATTAAATGAAAATGGAAAAAATGACATTTGCTTACATAGTCTGTCAAGGCCGATGACGTTTCTGTGCTCTGTATCTCTCTTGCAGGTTGCATGTGATCCTTTCAAGTGGACATGGAGAAAGAAGCACAGATAAAGACATCTGTAATGCACACCGGTGTATAAACAGGATGGTTTGACCTCAAACGCAAACGTAAGATTCTTCACTGACATTCATTTACGTGAAGGAAGGACAGGGTTTGTATTAAGTAACGTCGACTGCTAGTTCTTCCTTTCTTTTCTCCTTCCTTACAGTCTTGACCTCATAACCTCTGTAAAGAGATGGTACCAGGCACAGAAAGAAAGGAAGACAGGAGAGAAAATACAGACGTGACACACAAAGACAGGAGATATGTGCAAATGCACACACATACTCTTGTTGTGAATATCATATTTTCCAGTTAGATTCTTGTGAAAAGAATATGAATAGACATGTCCATGAATCTATGTACAGACTTGTAAAGCTGTAAAGAAAGACACATTCATATATAGTTATTGCTCTGAGGAGATTGTTGCTCAAACAGTAGATATGCTTTTTTGGTTTTTAGAAAATCATGTAATCATGCATTTCACAAATCTCTGGATCATCCCAAGTATGGGCTTTTACTGGAAAAAGCAACCAGATACAGCAGCTCACATACCTTATATAACAACAGGAGGGATCAAGATAATAACACACACGATAAGTGACCAGAATGAGTCTAAAAATACCAGGAGGTGTAAAAAAGAGAGTTATTAGGCAATGCAAATTATGTAACTCAGACAAATTGCTATAATCAATCATGTATAATTTTAAAAAGATGGGCAGTTGCCAACTATTATATTTAGTATATTTTTTATTTATTTATTTATTTACTTAGTTTTATTTCACATTTATTATTTACTATTAGGCCCACTAATTTTATGTATTTATTTACTTACTGCTTAGTGCATATATATATATATTGGTTGGTTTTATATAGTGGCAGTTTTATATAGGTCTCTAATGCCCTCTGCTGACCACAAAATGACAATATTTCTAGAGGGCATATGTTTATGTATTTATATTCAGTCTCCTTTTTTTGTTCAACACTAAGGAAAAACGGATTTATGAGGCATAACATGAACAATTAATAACATAAATCATCATCACAACATCAACTAAGCCTAATATCATGTTTGAAAATTATTTTAAAACTCTTTTAAAAACAGTTTATATATATATTCAAATTATTGATGCTTCTAAGAAGACTCAGCTTATGAATATTAATTATGTCATGCTGTCTTTATTTGCTTGCTACACCTTCTTGGAGCCTCAAGTCACGGACCTAATTAATATTAATATTTCACAATATTGATAGCCAGCGGCTAATGCGCCCAAGTCAGCTAAAACACAAAAGCAACATTTATGTCATTTATCGGGCAAAAAGTCAACACTTAATAGCGTAAATTAAAAGTAGCTTTACTCACCCTGTTGAAAAAAACAGCATATGCTGGTTAGGTGTGTTTTGACGCTGGGATGCTGGTTTATAAACCAGCATCCCAGCGTCAAAACATACCTAACCAGCATATGCTGTTTTTTTCAACAGGGCAGAACGTTTCAAATAAATCGATAACGTCGTCATGAGGCAAAATTGCAATTTTGATTTTTAGTCAAGTCGTGGTGAAGTTGCCAAGTGTTGCGTGATTAATATTCATAAACCAAACCAATCTTGCTAATTTGCCAGCTGACGACGCCAACTTCACCAACGTCTGCAGTTCAGTCAATTAATATTCATAAGCCAATCCTTCGCTTTTAGGATTCGCTTATTCGCCAGATAAACCTCGCCAACGTCTGCAGTTCAGCCAATCGGTAGAGCCAACTGGACAACCGTAACGCTACCTTATTAATATTCATAAGCCAGTCCTCCATTATTCGCGGATAGAGGGCGCTGCTGCATACAAGAACAACTTAATGCTGAACTTTCATCTGTCACGACAACAAAGTATAACTTTCCTCCATGGAGAGAACAAATGTGCTGTAACTTGCTGTGAGGATAAACCAATGGAAACAACAAATAACAACAACGAGGACTCGAAATTAACTCCAGGTATTTATAGATTTCACTAAGAGCGATTTTGAAAGGGTTTTAGTTTTGCCCAGCAGATAACAACACAATAAGAGTTTGGGTTTTTTTATTTTGAGAGAATGTATTATTTATTGTTAGTTCTATTTTATTGTATTTCGTTTCCATGATGAGACTTCTAATAATGTTGTTTTCTGATGATCGGATTTGAGTCCGTTGTGTTGAACAGATGTAACGTTACGTGTCCAACAGCTGCTGGTCAGCTCTGGGTTTTAATCACAGATGCGGGATAAGATCGAGGCCTTAAACATGTTTTGGTTAAACAAGTAAAAATGGTTTGTCACATAATAACACATTGCATGCTTTGCTATGCATTATCAGTGCATATGACCTCGAGACCAATGAGTACTACATATACTGAATTATTAAAGCATCATATGTTTGTGGAAATGCCTTATGCAAAGCAGAATGTTATAATAACAGAGTTTTATGTGGTCTCCAATATCAGAAATCATGCAAATTATGTTGGATCTAGAAGCTACACCCTTTTCAATATTCGCATGAAGAGTTCAGATTCAAAAGCCTCTAATTTTCTCAAATTCAAATTTCTAGACGTTCCGTCTAAAATGAGCATTTTTATCAGACTCCTATATTTATGTTCAGTTATTTCACTTTAATTGCATAGAAAAGGACCTATACGTTGCCATTAGAGTAAAATTACTGAACCTAAACGAATAAGAATGCTCATTTTAGATGACAATTTCAGATGGCACTTGGAGGCTTTTGCATCTGAACTCTTCATATATTAAACTTACAAAATCACACAAAATAATTTTCTTCTTCAAGCAAGAAAATAAGGTCATACAATTATAAAAAAACATATAAATAGAAAATTAGAAGCTTTTTCTACTTGGACTCCTGTAATAAGTGTGTAATGAAAATGTGGAGGACTAGATGGGATGTAACAAAGTTTATGTGTATCTGTTATTGAACACTTACCCATTCTTTACAGGAACTTTGTACATTTTTTTTATTTTGCATTTTGTCATTTTATTGTTACAGACCCAGGAGGACAGAAGCGTGATCAGTCACCAGCAGAGAAAGTGTTTGGTCGGCAGCTGAGTGAACCAGGGCGCTTTGCGTACGCTGGGTTATGTGGAGTGTCTTTGGGCCAGCTGTTTCAAGGACCTGAGCAAAAGTAAAAAATATATATATATACAATAACAATAATAACACTTTATTGTGCTGTTTACTAATATACAGTAGCATTAGAAGGTTTGGGTTGGTAAGGAAAAAAAGTCTCTTATGCACACCGAGGCTGCATCATTAAAAAATACAGTAATAATAACAGTAAAATGGTGAAATATTATTACAATTTAAAATAAGTGTTTTTATGTGAATACATTTTAAAGTGTAATTTATTTCTGTGATGCAAAGCTGTATTTTTTTTGCATAATTTCTCTAGTCTTAAGTCTCATGTAATCCTTCAGAAATCATACAAATATGCTAATTTGATGCTTTTTTCAGGAATCTTTTATGAATACAAAATTCAAAAGAGCAGCATGTATTTGTAACATTATAAATGCCTTTACTGTCACTTTTGATTCAGTGTATCTTTGCTTAATAATAACATTTAATTTCTTAGAAATTTTTTTTTATAATGGTTTGGGGTTGTTATGATATTTTCCCAATGCAGACGTTTTCGTGAGACGTATCTGGAGGGTCTTGTTCAGTGGCTGGATCTTGATGAGTCGGTCATGCCGGTTATGCAAGCGTTCCTGGCAGGGCTCGGGTTCGAAGGCACTGACACCTTCCTGTCCATCTTGCATGCGGAGCCGCTGCTCAGAGCCGGAGCTTTACCCATCACTCAGGTACGTGTGTGACATTGACCCAGCATTAAAGCCTCGTTCAGACTGTCAGCCCAAATCTGATTTTGTGCATATCCGGATGGAATCCGATCTAGACGACTGACTGTGCACACTGTGTATCGCAACTGTTCATATCCGATTTCTGTGTCCATAAGCGCTCTTACATTTTACGGAATGTGCTGTTGGTTTCTATGGCAATGCCGTTGCGTTGTTATGCCAACGTTAAAAACAACAATAACAGCAATAATTTTTGCATTACAGATGTTGTCTTACGACGTGACAACATGTTGCTGTCGTGCTGGATTATTATTTATTATTATAGATTTCATCTTATGAGGCAGCGGCAGAAACGCAGGAAGCTGGAATGTGCGGCTTTATTCTGTGATGCCGTCTCCGCTGGTTTCAAAACTCAAAGAGGTGCGTATACTAGCAGTATATTGTCTTTTTCCGCTTGACTTGCAGTTCGCAACAACACAAGCTTGTTTCTGCAAAGACTTCATTATGTTTTCTACAAAAATGTCTGACGTTTTTACGTTTTACGTGGCGTGAAAACGTGAAAAAGCTTGGCTAAATCCGATCTGACCAGTCAGACTGAAACGGATTTCCAGGAATGCAATTTGAATAGGATTCCAAACCACATATGAATGTAGCTTGAAACGGATTTGCAAAAATTGGATTTCATGTAGTTCGTTGCCGTTCAGACTATCTAAATATGATCGGATTTGCACAAAAATCGGATTTGGACTGACAGTCTGAACGAGGCTTAACATATGGATGCTCGCACAACTCGGTGTTTATGACGTTCTCTTTTGTTTTTCAGGATCTTGTGTCTTTCTCTGTCAAAGATGGTGAGCTGATGTTTCACATTTAATAAGCTGACCTTTTTTGCAATAGCATGCATAAAAATAAACAATTTATTATTTCAAATAATAAATAATAAAATGTAATCTCACAAAGAAATGTCAGTTTTTTATTATATTTTGCATGAAGAAAATGAATACTGTTAACATATTTTGCATTGTCGTTTTAATTTCTAAACAATTAAGACAATTCCCATCCCAGTTTTTTTTACTGCAGTGAAAACAAAACATGAATTTCAATATTTGAAATTATTTAAATGATAAAAAATGTATACATTACAATATTATTTATTCTACTATGTTAATTTATGCTATTTATTATTTATGTAAATGTGAAAAAACATTACATTACATTTGTTACTTTTAATAATGTACAAAACATCTTAACTGTGTTTTTATCTACATTGGTCACACCAATGTCAATGAAAAGTCCATGAAAACTTGCATAAAGAAAATAAAGCATATTTTTATGAGATGTATTTATTTATTATATGTTTAAAAAAACCTATTTATTTAAATTTAAAAAAAAAGCTTTTAGGCCAAATTTTCATTACCATAATGCGTCTGGATGTTATTAATTGAATTAATCATTCATTAATTAGTATATTTATTTTATATATATATAGTTAATTACCGTAATGCATCTGGATGATTTATTTATTTAGATTTATTTATTTTATTAAAAATAAAAAATTGGATTTGCCTCATATTTGGAATTTGCATCATTGATCCTTTTACTTTCCTGTTTAATACTGTGAAGCTGCTTTGAAACTATTTCTGTTGTATAAAGAGCTATAAAAATAGAGGTGACGAAACACTTCTAAAAAAAATTTGCTTTCTGTATGCAAGATTGTTTTTTTTTTTCTTTAGATTTTTCGGCAAACTATGAAGTTTCATAGTGAGATTCATTCTTCTTCCTCCAGTCTTGTTTTCCGTGTAATGACCGTGTTTTGATTCTTCTCATGTAGGACATTATGATGCCAGGGCTCGAGTTCTGATCCGACATGTCAGCTGTCTGCTGCATGTGACCCAACAGCAGCTGGAGGATTTTGAAGAGACTCTCAGAGAGATATTGAGAGAAGCAGGAGAGGAGAGCGAGTGAGTGAAACTTCCTCCGATCATCAGCTGCTGCCTCTTTATGGGGTTTTTGGGGGGTTATCAACATGTCTCTGAGAAACACACACTGCTTTCGCTGTAGGATGGATAATTTGCAAGAGATTATTTCCACAAAGCCCACGTATAGCCATCTGCAGATTCACAAAGAAAAGTCAATACAGAGGCACGATCAATATCATTGTGAAATCAGTGGAAGTGCTGTAATAATTTTGACATGAGGAACAAACTTGAATGTATTTGCTGATTTCTGTCTTTTAATGTGTTCTCTGCTGCATGTGATGATGTGGACCACGCACAGCTGTGAGTATTTTGTGTATATGCAGTCTAGGTCAAGGTTTTTCCTTTCAGTTCAGCGCTTTCATTTTAGTTTTAGTTTCTAATAGAATTCAGATGACAATGAACCAGACCTCTGAGCTTTCAGCAGCTCCAGTGAGCATATAATGAATCAAATTGACATTCTCTCAACAGAGAAGAGTCATCAAGAAGACAGAAGAAAGAGAGAGGTCGTAAATTGCGCCGGTACCTGCTCATCGGACTTGCCACTGTAGGTGGAGGGACGGTAATTGGTGAGTCTGAGTGCCACAGGACGTTTGTTTTAAACTACATTGGCCAAGGTGACTGTCAATGAAAACATGCGTAAAACCTGTTTATTTGTTTGTTTGTTTTTTTAGGATTTTTAGTTATTTATTTATTAATTTATTTTATTTTTAAGACATTAAAAACTATCTGTATTTATTTATTAAAAATATTTATTTAATATTATTTTATTTTTATTAAAACAATTTAATTACCGTAATGTTTTTTAAGCAATTTACCTACCATAATGCATACCGTACGAGAATATTTTATTAGTGACTATTATTATTATTGTATTTATTTAAATTAAATATATATTTACATACCCCTTGCAGAATATGCAAATATGTTAATAATTTTAACAAAAATAATAGAACTCATGAAAATTGCATGTTATTTGTTTTTAGGACTGTCCTGAATAAGCTATTTCACATAATATATGTTTATATATACTCCACCATAGGCATATGACAAATATGGCAAATTTTCATGTTGCGATTAATTGCTCATGCTTTTATCACGGTATACGGTATTATCATGGTATTGAAATTTAGTTAAAAAAAAGTGCTCTCATAATACAGTATAACAGGTTTAATAACTTTTCTAATAACAAAAATAACTGAACACCGGTATCAAATTTTCATGTTGCGATTAATTGCTAATGCTTTTATCACGGTATACGGTATTATCATGGTATTGAAATTTAGTTGCAAAAAAGTGTTGTCATAAAGTATAACAGGTTTAATAACTTTTTTCTTGTAACAAAAAGAACTGAACATTTACATACAATAAAGTAATACACAAAAAAGTATAAAGTAAAAAATTTCACACAGATTAAAGTGCAACAGAATTATAAAGACTATTAAGTAACACTTACTTTACAATAATATCTCATTTGTTAACCTTAGTTAATGCATTAACATTAATAATGAGCAATAGCTACATTTGCTACAGAAAACTTTTTGAATTTGAAGATCAGGGTAAATGTAACTTATTTTGTCTTCTGGGAAACATGTAACTATCTTCTGTAGCCTCTGAAGGGCAGTACTAAACGAAAAAAAAGTGATATTTAGGCAAAATAAGAAAATTGTACACGTCTCCATTCTGTTCAAAAGTTTTCACCCCCCAGCTCTTAATGCATGGTTTTTCCTACTGGAGCATCGGTGAGCGTTTGAACCTTCTGAAATAGTTGCATATGAGTCCCTCAGTTGTCCTCAGTGTGAAAAGATGGATCTCAAAATCATACAGTCACTTTTGGAAAAGGTTCAAATATGCAGAAGATGCTGGAAAACCAAAGAATGTGCAGGAGTTGGGGGATATTTCTGAAGAACAGCAGGCAGTTGAACTGCTCAGGACTCATGAACAACTATGACAAAACAGAAAAACAGTTGTGGATCATCCAAGAAACGACACACAGTATTAAGATTCAAGGGTATGTTTTGAACGGGGTCATTTTTATAAATTCTGTTATTTTTTCTTGTGGAGTATATATAAACATCTGTTATGTGAAACAGCTTATTCAGGACAGTACTAAATAAAAAAATAAATGCAATTTTCATGAGCTCTATTATGTTGTTAAAATTATTAACATATTTGCATATTCTTCAAGGGGTATGTAAACTTAAGATTTATTTAACAATTATTTATTTAAAATTAATTATTTAATTTATATTATTATTAGTGCTATCAAACAATTAATTGCATCCAAAATAAAGGTTTTTGTTTACGTAATATATATATATATGTGTGTGTAAGAGAAATATGTTATGTTTATATATTAAATATATTTATTTATAATATAAATTACGTGAATATAAATATATACATGTAAATATTTTCAAAATATATACTGTATATGTGTGTATTTATATATACATAATAAATATACACAGTACACACACATATATTATGTAAACAAAAACTTTTATTTTGGATGCAATTAATCACGATTAATCGTTTGACAGCACTAATTATTATTATTATATTTTAATATTTACATTATTATTTTAGATGATTGAGTTACTTACTACTTAGTTCTTTCTCTGAAATAGGTCTAGAACATGTTCAGGACTGGTTTCATGAGATTTTGTTTCATTTGTCTGGTGTTAATGATCATGTATGTGTTTTTGTCAGGTGTTACAGGAGGGCTGGCGGCTCCTCTGGTGGCTGCCGGGGCAGGAGCGGTGCTAGGAGCGGGTGGAGCCGCTGTGCTGGGATCAGCCACGGGCATCGCCATCATGGCCTCCTTGTTTGGAGCCGCAGGGGCCGGGTTAACAGGTGAGCTAGCTGAAGCTGATAAAAAAACATAGTAACAATAATAAATATTATATTGGAATTAATAAAAAATAATTAATGATAATATTTGTTATTATCAGATGAACTATTTATTGAACTTTGGTGTATTTTATCATTTGTATTTATCAGTACTGTTCATGGTATAAATCCTCTTTAAAAGACTATTTATTACATTAACACGGCTTTAAAGCAGTGTTGGTGTCTAAGTTTCTGTTCCTTCTGGAGGGCAAGTGATTTATAAAATTTCTTACACAATTCTTGCAACCAAAAGTGTTGAATCACTAGCTGCGTTACAGGATTGATCGATGAGCAGATGAATTAGCAGACTGACAGTGATGATAAAGTTACAGTCTGTTTTCTGGTTCAAATGGAGTTTTATATAATCCTGCTTTCATAGTTGAAGTATCATCTTGCCCTTGATTCCGCCAGAAAGGTCTTATACAAAAAATCTGGTCTTACTGTCCATAGGTTGATGTTTGATGAGCAGCAGCTGAAGTATCATCTTGCCCTTGATTCCTCCAGAAAGGTGTACTACTCACACATGATTAATGAAGGTGTTGATAACCCAAGAAAGTTGTTTAAAACAATTAACTGGTTTTTGAAGCCTCATAATCAAAACATTAGTCCTTCTGTTGAGTTGTGCGACAAATTTCATAAGTATTTTACTGAGAAAGTTCAAGATATCCACAATTCCATTCTTGCTGGTTCTTCACTGCTGACCAATGAGTTCCACTTTACAAATTTGTTATTTAATTTTTCACATTTTGAAATTGTTGGTTCAGATGATATTTTGAAACTGGTCATGTCTATGAATCCATCTACGTGCCTTCTTGATCCTATGCCTATTGAGGTATTGAAACAGTGTGCAACATTCCTGGGTCCCTCTATTACTGCAATCATTAACAACTCTCTATCTACTGGAAAAGTTTCCTCAGTCCTCAAGCTAGCTGCCATTACACCAGTTCTTTAAAAGACTGGTTCTAATGTGGAGGATTTGTCAGACTACAGGCCTATCGCTCCTCTTCCATTTTTGGCTAAGGTTCTTGAACGAGTTGTTGCCGGCCAGTTACAACAATACCTGTCCATAAACAATATCTTAGAACCCTTTCAATCCGGATTTAGATCAGGTCATAGCACTGAGACTGCTCTAGTTCGGGTTATAAATTATCTTCTCATTTCTGCTGAAATGGGGGATTGTAGTATTTTACTCCTGTTAGACATTGCTGCTTTTGACACAATATCTCATGCTGTCCTTCTTGAAAGATTGCATACATGGTTAGGCATCTCTGGTATTGCACTTGAATGGTTTAAATCTTATCTTACAAATCGCTTTCAATTTATCTGTTTGGGTAAATGTCAGTCTGAACCAACATTAGTACAGCAGGGTGTTCCGCAGGGATCTGTACTTGGGCCTATCCTGTTTAGTATTTATATGTTGCCTCTGGGTCAGATCATTCGCAAGTTTGGGTTAGGGTTTCATTTTTATGCCGATGATACTCAGATCTATCTCAGCACGCACCCTAATCCTAATCTTGCAACACTTACTGCTTGCTTGGGCGAGATCCCCCTAATCCTAATCGTGCAGTTACAACACTTACTGCTTGCTTGGGCGAGATAAAAGCCTGGTTGCACATGAATTTTCTCATGCTCAATGAGTCAAAAACAGAACTTTTGTGTATCGGTATGCCAGCGGCTTTACATAAATTAAATAGTTCTAAAGTGATTACTGATTGTGGCTTCGCTACTTCATCCACCCAAGTACGAAATCTTGGTGTTATTTTTGACCCTCAACTATTGTTTGATGCCCATATCAAAAAAATGATTTCAAAAACTGCATTTTTCCATTTAAGAAACATTGCAAGACTCCGTCCTTTTCTATCATTGCCTGATGCAGAAAGGCTCATCCATGCCTTTATTACATCGAGGCTTGATTACTGCAATGCACTTTATGTTGGTCTCCCTGATAAGTCTATTAAGAAATTACAATATATTCAGAATTCAGCTGCTCGGGTACTAACGTATACAACTGCCCGTCAACATATTACTCCGGTACTGCATAACTTGCATTGGCTTCCTATTCAAGCGCGTATTGATTTTAAAATCCTGATCTTAACTTATAAAGCTATTCATCGGACTGCCCCTTCCTATATATCCAGTTTAGTTGCTCCTTATACTCCCGCTCGCTCTTTGCGCTCAGCTGGGTTGTGTATCCTTCAGCAGCCTGCATATAAATTAAAAACTATGGGTCGTAGAGCTTTCTCTGTCTCAGCTCCACGACTGTGGAATGCTCTACCAGCCGGAATTAGAGATTCTCCAACTTTGAATTGCTTTAAGAAATTTTTAAAGACTTATCTTTTTAAAGTTGCTTACTGTAACTGAGTATGTTTATACTGTTTTTATTGTGTGTTTATCGCTGTGATTTTATTATGTTTGTGGTTGTGCTATGGGTTAAGAAACCCATGCTTGTTGTTGTTACCCATGCTTGCAGTTGTAGCGCTTTGGGTTAAGAAAAGCGCATAATAAATAAAATGCATTATTATTATTATTATTATTATTATAGCACATTCTCAGCTTCCATTCAAAGTGAACTGTGCTCAAGGTTATTGGAGTTGTTTGGTTTTTCTTCAAATGCAGTTAGTGTGTGCGTCTGCCTCTCTTTATTTCTGTTTGCAGATCAGGTTTTCTGTGTTTCCTATCTATATTTATGTTCATTTATTTTATATGTATGAAAATACCAAAAGGTATATTTAAATTTTTTATTCAGGCTATAAAATGAACAAGCGTGTCGGCGCTATCGAGGAGTTTGAGTTTCTTCCGATGAGTTCTGGAAAGCATCTTCATCTCACTATAGCCGTGACAGGCTGGCTGTGCAGTGGCAAATACAGTGAGTGCCACAGTTAACCTTCTTATCTCCATCAAAATAGCATTTTTTTCAGATACTATTTTGTTTAAAACGCTCTTGTGTTAGTACTACAAATTGTATTTTTAAAATATATACTGTATGACGGTTATTAATTATTAAAGGAATGGTTCGCCTGAAAAATGAAAATTTGCTTAATATTTACTCACCCTCAGGCCATCCAAGATTTAGATGAGTTCTAAATCTGCATCAGAGCAGATTTAGAGAAATTTAGCATCACATGACTTGCTCACCAATGGATCCTCTGCAGTGAATGGGTGCCGCCAGAATGAGAATCCAAACAGCTGATAAAAACATCACAATAATCCACACCACTCCACTCCATCAGTTAATCCATCATTAAAATGTTTTCACCTTAAACCGGCGTTGTTTCTGGCCAAAATGCAGTCAATAATTACGCTTCCTCCAGTGAAAAAGTTGATCCCCTGTTGTTCTCTCACAGCAAAATCCAGAGACATATTTGTTTAGAATTGTTTTGGACTGTTTTTGCATATAAACAGTGCTTTATATGTGCATATTTCTCTCCTGATTCAGATGAGATGGCTTTTTATGGCCTCTACTATTATAGAGGACTCGCATTTGAAGTTAAAACATCTTAAAGATGGATTTGTTTCTTACAAACATGCAGCTTTTCACAAGATGTTAACTGATGGACTGGAGTGGTGTGGATTATTGTGACGTTTTTATCAGCTGTTTGGACTCTCATTCTGACGGCACCCATTCACTGCAGAGGATCCACTGGTGAGCAAGTGACATAATGCTACATTTCACCAAATCTGTTCTGATGTAGAAACAAACTCATCTACATCTTGGATGGCCTGAGAGTGAAGACATTTTTAGCAGATTTTCATTTTTCGTGATTTCTTTAATGTAATCCTAAAATACCCATGAATATTGTTCACACTAAGGATCAGATTCTCTTGCTGATCACAGGTTCGTTTCAGGCTCCCTGGTCCAGTCTAGGAGCATGTGGCGAGCAGTACTGTCTGAAATGGGAGTCGCGTTATTTATTGGACCTGGGCTCTATTCTGGATTCATTATGGGATGGGCTTGTTAGTGTCGTAGCTCAGGAGGCCCTCAAATACACAGTGCTCTCAGGTATGTCCGCTTTACAAATGCAGGTACGCTATAAAAAAAAGGTAGAACTACTGATTTGAGGAAAACTGAAAATCTCCTGTGCTTTATCTTACCTTATTTATGTAAGTGTTGAACTGTGCAGTCATATTAATTCACTTTATCTTAAATCGATTTTTTAACAGTCGTCTCAGCAGGGATGTGTTTAATACGGGAGAAGTGTCTCTAATTGTTGAGTTGGAGTTTCTGTTTCATTTATTCATGTGTATTATAATAAATGAAGATCCAGTGCAGGAATTTTGAATGTTTTGCTGAGTGGCCGGTGAAGCTTAAATCAGCGGCAGCATTCTCTCCCACGCAACTTTAGAAGCACAATTTGGTCTTTTCTGCAGCTCATGGTCTATTTTAACGGAATCATTCAGCAAATGTGTTCAGATTTTTTTTAAGTCGAATGTTTAGAACCCAGAATATTATAAAAAAGATTTACATTTTAAATACATTTTAAATACATTCAAATAAATGCTAAAAAATTCGATTCATCAAAGAATCATAAAAAGTTGAATTAAGCCAGCATATTAGAATGATTTCTGAAGGATCATGTGACACTGAAGACTGGAGTAATGATGCTGAAAATTCAGCTGTGAATATCACAGGAATAAATTACATTTTAAAATATATTAAGTTAGAAAATTGTTATTTAAAATAAAAATTATTGAATATTTTATGTAGATGTTTTCAGCATAGCTACTTAAGGAAAATCACACAAATCACAGTTTTAAACTGCATTTTGAAAACAGGATTTCAAAAATATAATTTAAAATGAATAGAAAATAAGGCAACTCGTATAGTATTTTGTTTTCCTCCTGAGCAACAAATGACTTAATTTTTTTATACCATGTTTAAACTGCCTCAAAATGACTTAATTTAATTGTAGCATCATGAAAGCATGTTTTAATTGTCACACAGTGCATTAAGGTTTCCAGAATAACTTCATTTCTCATTCTCTTGTCTGTGTTCAGGCATAGTAATGGCTCTGACATGGCCTGCGTCTCTGCTGGCTGTGGCCAGTGTGATCGACAACCCCTGGGGAGTGTGCCTGAGTCGATCAGCAGAGGTGGGAAAACACCTCGCCCAGGTGCTCCGGAGCCGACAGCAGGTCAGAGTCGAGCGGAGTCCTGCAAGACATTGACTTTTTCAAGATTCTCCTTAGTCTTTGACTATTTCAGTTCAATGCGGCTTGAAATGACTAATTCGAGGAATGTTACGGGTCACATAAAAGCTCTAAGGACGGTATCTGTGGCTCACACTCAAGGAGAAAAAAAGCACCTCAGTTTTATTCAGAGGCACAAACTCAGCAAAAATATGCAGTTTGCTGATATTTATATGGCCAGAAAGTCCGATGAAATTCTGATAGCTTGTAATGTAAATAAATGAGATCTTTATAACAGTATGACAGACTAATTACATCAAATGCATATGAAAATTAGTTGTCACTTTATAACTCCCAAATGTCTGAAGATGATATTTAAATGCTTAGTTTTGATGTTCAAGCTCTGTAGTTTCAAAACATTTAATGCAATGCAATACAATCATGATTGAGAGAAGCCTGTTGCATCATATTTGATGCATTTTAACATGAATATTCTGAAAAATGATGCATGGATAATGAGTGAAGTGACATGTTGCCAAGTATGATGACCCATACTCAGAATTAGTGCTCTGCATTTAACCCATCCAAAGTGCACACACACAGCAGTGAACACACACACACCCGGAGAAGTGGGCAGCCATTTTTGCTGCGGCGCCCGGGGAGCAGATGGGGGTTCGGTGCCTTGCTCAAGGGCACCTCAGTCGTGGTATTGAAGGTGGGAGAGAGCGCTGTACATTCACTCCCCCCACCTACAATCCCTGCCGGTACGAGACTCGAACCCGCAACCTTTGTGTTACGAGTCCGACTCTCCAACCATTAGGCCACGACTTCATTACTTTAATGAAGTAAACCTTCAGTTTATCTTGAAATGTTACTATTACAGTATTACTAAAGTTGATCTTATGTTTACTTTTTTTTTAAAACAGTAAAGATTTCACAGCAAAAACAAATTTTTATAATTTTACAGTTATAGGCCTTTTATTTGCTAAAAAAAATCAATAAAAAGAAACTATTAATCAGATGCCAGAAGGCATGTAGTAGATTGTGTACAACTGTTTTCCAACAAAGTTTTCATCATGTTGATCATTTAGAGACCTTATTATGTAGGCTTTATAGAGTTAATCGCCTATATAATCTTAACCCAGAATATTCCTTTCAAATATGTGTATAATTATCTTCTATCTTTGTGCAGGGAAAGCGGCCTGTCAGTCTAATTGGATTTAGCCTTGGAGCTCGTGTCATCTACTTTTGCCTAGAAGAGCTCGCTAATGATCAAGGTACGCTTTTTATTAATTTTAATGAGTCGGCGATGATGAGGGAACATCCTTGTGTCTTTAAGACCTTGTGTCTCAAGAAGTGTCCACATGAGAGAGCTGGACATGGCCAAATTTCCTGCAAGCCAGATTGAGTCGTGTTCTCTTTGCAAGGTGTGAGGCTGTAAATGAGAATCTGATGGCACAGAGCCGTTTGAAAGACTTTCGTCTCTTATTATCGGGCAGGTAGTGAAGGTGTGGTGGAGGATGTGGTGCTGCTGGGGGCCCCTGTGGACGGATCCGAGAAAGCATGGCAGCGACTGTCCAGGGTTGTGGCTGGGAAGATTGTTAATGGATATTGCAGGTAAGACACTTAATATTACTCCTTCTTAGGGTAAGGGGTATGTTCAGATCCCTTCCTGTAAGTATTCAAATTTGCTGTCAAATATGCCATTATAATTGCCCATTTTAACAGTTAATTTAACTCACTTTCTTTTTTACATTTACATTTACATTTAGTCGTTTAGCAGACGCTTTTATCCAATGCGACTTACAAATGTGGACAATGGAAGCAATCAAAATCAACAAAAGAGCAATGATATGCAAGTGCTATAACAAGTCTCAGTTAGCTTAATGCAGTACACGTAGCAAGGTTTTTTTTTTAATCATATAATAAATCAAAAGAAAACAGACAGAATAGAAAAAGAATAGAGCAAGCTAGTGTTAGAGGCCTTTTTTGCTTTTGTTAATTGTATAATAAATAAAAAGAAAACAAATACATAGAATACAAAAAGATTAGAGAAGCAAGTGTTAGTTTTTTTTTTTTTTTAAGAAAACAAGCAGTTAGTAAATAAATAGAGTGCAAGTCTAAAAGGGGCAAGTTTTTTTTTATTATAATTTTTTTTTTTATAAAGAATAGAATTAGAAGTACTAGAGTTAGAGGGTCAAATAAAGATGGAACAGATGTGTTTTTAGCCGATTCTTGAAGATGGCTAAGGACTCAGCTGCTCGGATTGAGTTGGGCAGGTCATTCCACCAGGAGGGAACATTTAATGTAAAAGTCCGTGAAAGTGATTTTGTGCCTCTTTGGGATGGCACAATAAAGCGCCGTTCACTTGCAGAACGCAAGCTTCTAGAGGGCACATAAGTCTGAAGTAATGAATTTAGGTAAAGGGGTGCAGAGCCAGTGGTGGTTTTGTAGGCAAACATTAATGCCTTGAATTTTATGCGAGCAGCTATATTTTATTTACATATACAGTATATATATTTTTTTTTCTCTCTCTCTTATACACTACTGTTCAAAAGTTTGGGTCTTGTAAGATTTCTTATAATATATTTGAAAGAAGTCTTTTATGCTCAGTAAAAACAGTAATATTGTGAGATATTACATTTTTTAAAAAGTATTTTCCATGTGAATATATTTAATAATAAAATTTAATTTATTCCTGTAATGCAAAGCTGAATTTTCAGCATCATTACTGTAGTCTTCAGTGTCACATGATGCTTCATAAATCATTTTAATATGCTGATTTGCTGCTGTAGAAATATTTCTTATTTTTATCAATGCTGAAAACCGTTTTTGTTGCTTAATATTTTTGTAGAAGCTGGCCAGCGTGCGCGGTGACGAAACAGCATGTTTCAGCGATGACTCATCTGAACGCCTCTGATTGGTCCTTGCATTCTTAAGCTCAACAGAATTGTGTGTGATTGGTTATAGTGTGCAGCGCTATAAAAACGTGTATGTCTCTGGCTCTGTGCCAGCCAGCGAACGCAGATTTGAATTTAGCGGCTGGTAATGTTTTTCTTTTTTTTATATAGTTTACAGGCCAAACTGCACATTTCACCCAAAATTGTTTGGTGTGACATGATTCCAAATTTAGGGGGGCCAAGCTTGTTGACAGGGGGGCATAATGTTTTTCTCCGTTCGCAGAAGCGCTGCAGTAAAAAGTACAATATTATGCTTTGGAATGTTGTGAAGTAAAGTTTTCTAAAGAAAAACACTGATAAAGTACTGACACCTGAAAAGTACTTTTACAGCAGAGTAAAAATACTTCACTACTTGTGACTCTGGGCTTATGTTTTATTAATTTTTAATTTTTATTCAAAATATTCCCAAAATATATCATGAAATATCTTGATTCTCAAATATGTGCAAGTAAATGCATTTTGCACCTTAGTTGATCTATAATGGGCGATGGGCAAAGTAGCCTAATAGTGTAATCTATTAAATATGCATAAAAATCCGTCTTTTTACTTAAGTACCAGATATGGGTGTCATACCATCAAATATTTTTAATACGACTGACTTTGTATTGAATGTGAATTTAATAAAAACATTGTAAGTTACTAATTAGCCTATAACACTTTCATTGTACAAAAAGAGAGCAAAGAACCTTTACATTACATTACATTATAATCACTAAAGCTGTTTACACTGTGAAATTAATATCTTATTTACATTCGACATCTTCACTTTGTTGTTTCTGATGAGAGAATTCGCCAGAGAATTCAGACAGCGAGCACGCCGTGACGAAACAGCGGTGTTTCAGCGATGACTCATCTGAACGCCTCTGATTGGTCCTTGCATTCTTAAGCTCAACAGAATTGTGTGTGATTGGTTATAGTGTGCAGCGCTATAAAAACGTGTATGTCTCTGGCTCTGTGCCAGCCAGCGAACGCAGATTTGAATTTAGCGGCTGGTAATGTTTTTCTTTTTTTTATATAGTTTACAGGCCAAACTGCACATTTCACCCAAAATTGTTTGGTGTGACATGATTCCAAATTTAGGGGGGCCAAGCTTGTTGACAGGGGGGCATAATGTTTTTCTCCGTTCGCAGAAGCGCTGCAGGTGCATGACATGACCATGTGAATCCTCACGTTCTGTTGTTTATGCTGCTTTTTGCGTGTATAAAATTAATCCCTGGAAAACAAATTTAGGTATTTTTAATGGGTCACAGCCATATATCAATTCAAATTTCATTTAATTGTAATGTAACATAATCTTGTCGGTTAATGGCTAATAATGGCTTAACGACCGTCGGTTGTCGGTTAGGCTATAGGAGAAATAAAATAACCGAAATTAACGTTCCTATTTCCTAATAAAAGTTAATCAGAAAAATAATACTAATAAAACTGCTCCTGTTTATGATTCCTGTTCCTGCTCGATGATCAAGTATCTAAATAGTCTATAACAAAGTACAAAAAAAAACTCATGACACTTGTTAATAAAAATTATTTTATGTAGGCCTATACAATTTAATAATAGGCTATATAATTAAGTTTAGTTTCAAATGGATAAAGAACAGGCTACTAGCCTATATAATTTACGCAAAATGTAAAATTATGTATGGAAACAGCTCAAGGGCATTTTTTTTTTGCGATACACCAAAACTTATACGACAATTCGTTTTTTAGGGATGACGTCATCACACACCATTTAGGGGTAATAGGCCAGTTGGATGGAAACAGGCTGTAGACGGCAAATTTCAAGTTGTTGTTTTTTTACGCATAGTCTCTTTGTCGATAACAAAACAGCGCAAAAACTGGATGGCTATGTGTATATATATATGTGTGTGTGTGTGTGTGTGTGTGTGTGTAAATAATGTTGATGTTTTCATCATAGCTATTTATGGAAAATCTCACAAATCACAGTTTTAAACTGCATTTTGAAAACAGGATTTCAAAAATATAATTTAAAATGAACAGAGAATAAGTTTTTATTTTATTTTACTGACACTGAAATTTAAATAGAGGTGTATGTTCACAGTTACTGTGGCTGGATGTTTGTGCAATTTCTTTCATTAAGTTAATTCCAAACAGTTCTTGGAAACAAACCTCCACTGAGCTAACTTTTCTAAAACCTAAAGACATCGGTTAAGATGGAAATGAAATGACCACATGTCTTCATCAATGGGAGAAAAACAATGTTATGTCAGATTTGGATGGCAATGAAATCATTTAGTGCCTCAAAATGAAAAGAGCTGAAGTTACACATTAACAGATCATTTCATTTTATTGAAATAGATTATGATGGGCAATTCTTTAGTTCTTTATTACATTTTAGGCCACCAGATGAAGAATTAGAAATGACACTTTATTAATTTAGTTATTTATTAAAAAGTAACAGAATGTCTCAACATGTTAACTGCAAACAAATCTGGAGATTATGATTTTTTTTAATAACTGTTGTTGATTTAATTGACAGTCCTAGTTATTACATTAGCATGTTTGAAAATGTGTTTCTTTGTGTTTTTATTGGTGTAGAGGGGATTGGCTTCTTGGATTCCTGTATAGAAGTTCATCAGTCCAGCTGTCTGTTGCTGGGCTCCAGCCAATCAATTCACAAGATCGCAAAATAATCAATGTGGATCTGTCATCAGTGGTAAGCAAATGCATGTGTGTATTGAGCATTAAGTCCCTGTTGTTCTTAGTAGATGCTCTTTGTTAAAATGTTCTTGGTGTCTGTGAGATGCATTTAGATTCAGATTCAGTTTCCTGGCTGGAATAGTAACTCAACACAATGGCATGGCATTATAGTATCGCAAAGTCAAAGTTTAATTTCCTTCCAGCTTGCTAAGATTTTAAGTCATCTGAAGTTACTTTTTTGGACAAAAATGATTTAATGCTTTTTGCAGAACACCCCCTGCCATGAATAGAAAGGGCATTGTTAAATTGTCACCCACAAAAGACTACAATTACTGTAATTACTGTCGCAGGAAGTTGCTCGTTGATATTCAAGTGGAGTCCTTAAATCCAGCGCTGTTACCTAATAAAAAAGGGAAAGTTACCTTTAAAAAAGTGTCATTTATGCAATGCACAAATGTAAAAAAAAAAAAAATTAAAAAAAATCAAGACACTTGAACTTCAAATGATCTATTCATAGCGATGCCTTCTAAGTTACACTGAGAAACAGATCATGCCCGCCATCCATGTGACATGTCACGAAATGCTTGTATATCTTTTGTTATGTCTTGTTTTTTTGTGAAAGCAGTAAAATGATTTTCATGTAACAAATAATTATACAGCTTAGATAAATCGGCGAGAGATATGGCAAGGAAATCAGTTCAAGAACCCTGGTTATGCGACTGCGATGTGAGGCATGTGAAGAATTGCACCTTCGTTTGGCATGTGAAGAAATGTTAATGAGCAACTAAATCTGCATTTCCTGAAATAAATACCAGTGCTTGTAAGACAGCACAAGAATAGTTTTACCGTTTTAGGTTTAAATTAGGCTTATCAGAGCAACTGTAATCTTGCTGTTCACATAAAAACTTAGCAGATGTCACATAATGTGGTGCTGCAATGTTAAAGCAGCTATAGTCAAAATCAGTTAAAATAGACCAATCACAGTACACAGATATTGCAGTGTACTGTAATAGTGATATAGTGATACCATAATGATCACCAGATGGTGAATATTAATCAAAGGGAGATTTCCAAATTAAGTCTAGAAAAAAATTGTATGTTGTATAGTATCAAGTTCATAAAACAAGATTTTTAGCTCACCTAAGATAAACATTTTAAGTGTTTTTCATATGTATTTTTAATTTGACCTATTTTCCAGTGTCAGTTAGCAAAGTAAAAAACATTACAAACCCTTGAAAAGACCCTTGTATGTCTATTTTATATTTTTATCTGTGAAAAATTAAATATGGATATAGATATGGATATGGATTAGATATTAAATATCTACCCTTATGTACATTTTACACTGGTCCTTGCCTGTGCAAAACATTATGTTGTTTTAGTCTGTTGCTAGGTGGTTACTTGCTAGCCTAAATCAAAGATTCCACCCCTGAGTCTATTTATGTTGGTTCAGGCCTCTCTTTTTATAATACAAATCTGTTTGAGTTTTTCCACTGCTTTTATCATCCACCAGGGCATGAAAAAAGATGTAAATTTGATCACTTAAAAAAGTACTAGCCTACGTTTTGTGGTTTGAGGTATAATACATGCCTGAGTTATGCACCAAAGCTTGATTTTTCTGAAAAGTTTACAAGCACCACTAAAATTAGAAGGAGGATATCAAAATAATAATGCACTGCAAGCACTGTAAAAATGCTAAGTAATGTATAGTATTTCCCACTTACTTTATGAATACTGGCTATGTTGTGTCCACCTCTTAGGTAAAAGGACACCTGGACTATATGCGTCAGATGGACACCATCCTAGTAGCAGTAGGGGTTCCTACCAGGGAAGAAGCTGGAGCCATGAGTGGCAAACAAAAGCTGGTACATTTATCTCAGGAAAAAGCAGGCACTCCAGTATCAGCTGGTCAGAGCAGAGTCAAAGGGGAACCATCCATGGACATTTCAAACAATGATACCTCAGACACCACAGAGGCAAATGTAGATAAATACAAGACACAGACTGTAGACAGGGAATGGTGCGAGAGGAAGGACTCTGAGAATGGCTGGGATATCCCTGATATATCTGATTTACTGGACTCCATCAGTGAATGTGATGGCGTCCCTGATCCCTGTCAAGGGAACGCACATTCGCTATGCGCTCTCGGAGTCAAGGATCATGTTGAACCATCTCAAGATCAAGGCAAAATAGACAGAGACGATGAAAGTGAGACAGACTGTGAGCACACATCCTGGGACTGGGACGACACGAACTGGACAACTGAATGCACAAACACAACCTACCAGTCGCACACTGAAGCACAGGAGCAGTTAGTCAGTGGCAAACCTGCTGGTTCTGAGCCAAGAGCCTTGACATTTCCTTGATTCACAACTCATAAAATGTGGGTTGGGTCTAGATGGTAAACCTCGTTCCAAGAAACTCCTGAGATTCGCATTTGCTGCTACCAAGATTAAGGGTTAGGTGTAGGGTTGCTGTGGGACTCAAATAAACACAGTGTTTTAATATCACATGTGAATCCTCACAAGACTTTTAGCAGAAGAAGCGTTACCATCTAGACACCACCCAGAGTGTAAGTTATCAGTATAAGCTAGAACCAACTGGAATATTGGCTTTTTGACATTCTGGAATTGTCTAATAATATCTATAAGTTATTTGTGGGTATCATCTCTAATTAATTTAGATTTTTCTTTAAGCACTGCTAAATATAATTTGTGATAAACTGCTATGTGAAAACTGTCAGTATTCTGTATACACCATTTGCCCCCTTCATTAGAAGTGGGTTGTTGTTTAATTAAGATGTGAATTACAGCTCCACAGACAACCCACTTGACATTGTGAGAGGTATTAGTGAGATTTCTTTCGCTCTCGTCTGCTTTATCCATCTGTTGTTTTGGTTGTTATGGTAATGAATGAAGCTGGATGTGTGTTGAGTCCGTTCTAAATGTGCAATCTCCCTGATCTGCCTTGAGGAGCGATGCAGCCTTCCAGTTTAGGCACGACTATCCCATTAACACTTATCCCATTGATTTTTTTTAGCATGGTACGTTTCAACACATTTTTCCAAAAACCTGTAATTATAAGTCTCACATCTTGCCGTTCACAGTATATTGCACTTCTTTTGTTGTCTCGGTTGGCGTGTCAATCGTCTAATGTATCAACCTGGTTGGGCAGCAGTAGAGGCAGGTCGATCCCGGCGTTTTCTGCGTCGAGAAGGTTAACAGCATCCGTGGCCGTCGCCGGTAGTTGAGGCGGGTCGGACACAAGGGAGGGGGGTTCAGTGGGCAGTTGTGGCTCCCCTGAGTTGCGTAGAGAAAGGGAAAGTGGCAGCGATGGCCTACGAGGGGCTTGAGATGAAGAACAGCAGGGTAGAAGCCGTGCCAAAGCCCTTTTGAAATCCCTCATGAACATTGGGTATATAATTGGATTCATGGTGCTGTTACAGTAGCCCAGCCAGGTGATGGCATCGAAGAAGGAGGGTGGTACACACTCACACACCGCCTGAATGAACAGAAGAAAAGGTCTTAGATCACAAAGTCAATACATAATGTAGCTGAGACTCGATACCAAAGCGGTGGAAAAGGTCAAAGATGTCTAGTTCGTCGGAAGAGGATGTTGGGATGCCACGGATGAAGAAGGGGAGAGTAGGAGACAGAGATGGAGTGCTATTCACACACCATATTGTGTGCGAAGGAGGGCTAGAGACAGGCTTGCCCAGAAGCTCGAAATCTGAGCAAAGTGAGGGACACAGATGGGGTACGGGATCGTTGAGAGCTCGAGAGCAGGATAAGGAATAATTGCTCAATTAAATGGGATGTCAGTTTGTCATACTGCAGTTAATTTGCCACCCATCCCTTTTTTTTTTTTACATGCTTGTTAAGGTCAAGGTAAGGATTAACAAGTGAGTTGATGTTTCTTAACTGTTTTGTGGACTGACCTGTGCCATGTTGGTGATAAAAAAGGGAAGCCAGGCACTGAAGAAGAGACCCAGGAGCACTCCCAGGGTAAGACTGGCTTTCAGAGCTCTCTTCCTTTGCCTGTGTGCCAGTCTGCGCTCACTGTTCACCGACAGCTGAGAGGAAGAGACAGAAAAGAATATATTCATCGAGATTTCACAGTGATTCTCCTGCTGAGAGATGGGTAGTAATGTTATCTTGGCCTGAGGTAATTATTTATGCCTTTCCCTCTCTCAGATGAAAGCTCTTGAAAGTGACAGTGCCTCGCAAGGTCTTTGCTATTCTCTTGAATAGTTCTACCCTCCCATTTCGCCCTTCCTCATCTTCAAATGCCTTATTGGCACTCTGACACCCTCATCTTGTCTCTCATTACTTTCTGTTTTGAGTCCTTAAAATTGAATTTTCCTTTTTCCGCTACATCTCTTTCACCTTTCTTTTTGTGTTTGTTAAGGTGCGGGGAATTCTCTGCACATTCTCAACATGCTGCATTGTGTCTGTAATCACACAGCCTTCACTTGCGTAAGCAGTGGGTACGTAAATTAACAATAGGCCAAAACAGTTTGAGAATGTATGCACTCCAAGTTAGAGGTCTTCTTGGGTCCTAAAATCCATACCCGACCCGAATATTACTCTATATTTTTGCCTGCCTGATGGATACATCTTTCAATTGTGACCGGATTTGAAAAATAAACGCGATTGCTTGATAAGAAGTAAATCGATAGCCTAATAAATCATGGATTTGACAATGTTATTTACCTCATCTACGGTGAAGGGCTTCTGCGCACAAAAAAGAAAAGCCCTGCATGAACACGCAGCATAATGAAGTAAGTGGATATTCCTGATCTCATATCTATAAGATGGATTTCGAGGTTACAAACTATGTTCCTTTTCTACGTGCGTTTCTCAAAAATGGACTTAACATGAACGCACATGTTCACATCCAGGATAGTTTAAAATAATTCGGGTCTTATTGGATCCATTTGGAAAAAGCATGAGAAATTACCCTAGGCCGCTTATACCAAACCTGACCTGTGTCCGAGACACTCGTAGAAGTTTTGGACCCGAACCCTCTTGGGTCGGATCTCGGGTTTTCGGATCCAAGTGGACCTGTGAAGACCTCTACTCCAAGTGGCTTAGTTTGTCGAGAGTTCACAGCAAGATTTAAGAAGTATTCACACACACATACATGAAGCAATACATTTATCTAATAACTCTACTCTAGTTCTTGGCACTTCACGAATTGAATTTCTATCCCAATCTTTTCTCTGACTCTGGACTTCTCACCGGAGCTTGCCGCAACACGGGTGGCTCCTGATGGCTGTAGTCGTCTCCATCCTGCACGGCGTGTCCGGGAGAAGGAGGACGAGATGGTTCGCCGGTTGAGTGATGTGGGTAAGCGGGATGAGTAAGAGCCTCCACCTGTCGTGCCTGTCTTCTGGCCGCCAGCAGGATCCGGCAGTAGGTGAAACAGATGGCCGTAGAGGGCAAGAAGAAGGTGAGAAAGGTCGCCACGAGGGCGAAGGGGAGAGTCACCCGCAGGCGGCACTGCGTGGACGGCGTCCCTGACGTGGAAAGCTGGAAGTACGAAGAGGGGTAGAAGGAACTCAACTGGGAGACCGTGGCGTTGGCGGGATCGTTCTCGGCAAGGTCTGGGGTGCGACCCAGGCTGTGCCAGTCCATCTTGATCGGCAGAAAGGAAGTGAGGGCTGCCAACCCCCAAGCCCCACCCACCAGAAGCAAGGCACGAGGCGGGGTCATGTGCTGTTTGTATCGCAACGGAGAGATGATGAGGAGGTAGCGGTCCAGACTGATGACACACAAGTTGAGGATGGAAGCACTACAGCACATCACGTCGAAGCAAAGCCAGACGGGGCAGAATCCAGGCGCCAGCACCCAGGTCCCACACAGCACGTTGAGCATAGCAGGGGGCATCACGACCAGAGCCACCATCAAGTCTGATAGGAAGAGGGACATCAGGAAGCAATTGGAGGTGCAGCGCAGCGACCGATGTGCAAACACCAAGGCGATCAACAAAATGTTCCCACAAGCTGTCACCAGAATTATGAGGGACAGCATGACTGCAAGAAGCCAGGGACCACTGCCACTAATGCTCCAGCCATCACCGATAGTACCGCTGTCATTGAAGCTCCTGTGAACATCCGCACCTGATGCTGCCTCTACTCGAGGGATAGGTGAGCCACTCATCATCGGAGAGTTGAATAGGACTGTGTGCGCTTCCTGTGGTCTCGATGAAGCGAACACACATCCAGCGTTTTTCAAGTGCATTGAGAGAGTGATGCTGAATGTGAAACAGTTGATCTGCGGGTCACCTTGCTGAAATCTGATGCGGAGCACCTCAGGTGGCGAAAAAGATCAAGATGTCCCGTTTATAGTAATCTTTTCCGTCTTTCCCCTGGCGAGGTTGGTGATTTCACTCCCTCTGTGTGCCTCAGTCACATCAGTGCAAGGATATTCAGCTGCCATCACTCCATTTGTTAACGTGAGATGAGCAAAGCAATAAAATGACACATTTCCTAGTCAATAGTCTGGCTTCTTCAGTGCTTAGCACCAGTATGAGCAATTCTATGCCTGTCAAGAGTATTTCAAAGCTACGTGTCATGATGACACTCTTTGGGGGAGGGCAACTGAGAGGTGGGCTTCGGTACGAGAGAGTGTGAGAGAAAGAGAGGGAGCGTTACAATAGCAAGACTACCGTATAGATATTTTTAGATGAATGAATTAAAAAACAAACTCATCTATGTCCGCTTCTTGCTGTTAAGGTGGATTTGTTTGCTTTCTATGCATTTTTATGAGCTCAACGTTCTTTATTCAGTAATTGTGTGGCTGTAATTGAGTAAAAGGGAGCGGACGAGTGCACTAGAGGTAACTGTGTTGGCGTCTTGGCTGTTCCCTGTGCCCTTCTAATCCCTGTATCGTCCACTTCAAGGTGCCTGCGGGATCCGCACTCTGCCGCTGGGCATAAAGCGTGTCTGAGGATCGCACTCTTAATGCGACTTCATGCACATTCACAGCCAATCATTATTCAGGGTTAATTGAGGCAAGCAATTAGCATCTAACAAAAGGCTTATGTAAATGTGTGAGATGTAAAAAAAAAAAAATATGCAAGATTAACAACAAATGATTAAAATGTAATTTTACAAGACGTGTTTGTGTGTGCGTGAACACGTTCTTCTGTGCCTCATCTTGACTCTGACATTTGGTACCTCTACCTATTTTTATTTTTATTTTTTATTTGAAGTTGATTGTCAAAGCAGACTGCATGTTGTCAATACAGTTGCACAATTGACTTTTAAATGCATTTCTGTCAACATGTTTTTTTGCAAACTGAGATGTGGAAATTGAGTCTTTGTGCACTGATGTCCAAGTGCATGATTATTTTTTGTTCTTGTTTTTTTTTTAACTCATGATCAATTGTGTTGTTCGATTGTGCATTTATAATAGTGAGAACATCTGAGAATTAGAACTGAGAAAAAATGGGTTTTGAAATTAAATTTTATTCCAAGATGAAAACAAGCTGAAAGAATTTAAACTAAACTGTCGTACAGTTGTGTACAACTTTGTCAAAAGCAAAAGATGATACATTTAATATTTGTAATTTTATAATCGTTACAGCCAACATGCCTGCAACAATTCCCTGAAGCCTTACTTCTCAACAATGTCATGCATGAGAACTTCGATATGTACTTCTACCTTTATGTAAAAAGCAACATTACAATAATGCAATTATGTATAAGCACGGCAGATAAAAAAAAAAAAAAAGTATGCTTGTGAGAACTGTCGCCATGCCAACACGGCTCTTGACACTTCAGGTTTGTGCAAATGTTTTGCTTCAAGCAAAGTGCACTAGTTTAGCATGGTTGCCAAATATCATCTTGGCCTGGGTCAAAAGCTAGATGACAGCGTAGGCTGCTATCACTGGGGTTATAATAGAAGCCTATGATTTTTGGAACACATGTTACTGTAGGGCCATTTTAAAAAAAACAACAACATTCAAATCATCCTTAGCAAATTTCAAATCTCCTTTTTAGTATTTTATTAAATATAAACAGACTGTCCTGTACAAGAACATGGATGTTATGGAGAAAGAAAGACAACCAGTCTGATTGCGTCAGGCTTCGAATATGAAAAGCAAGGCAGATGACAGAATCCATAACTGTTGCAACTCTACTGCTCCTGAAAGAGACCAGAGAAAACAGGTCAGGATTGAAACACTGATCTTCAAATGTGTTGAGGCAGAGAGAATCTATGAATATGATCTTGTGTTAAAATTCACAAACAAATCTAGAAAAGAAAAGGTACAAACTGATGTGAAAATACACCAAAAAAGCATGCATATGAAATTCATGTGATAAGTATCAGGACTTGCTTATCAGGCGATTTTTAATAAATTATGTGTTTACAGTGAATTAGCATTAAGCATTAAAATATGTTTTTCTGATATAATCTGAATATGCTAAATGATCATATTCCAATTGACTGTGTCACATGTTCTGAACAATGCATGTTATTTCCAGTGAATTGATAATTTATTACAATGATTTAATTTTATCTGTGCATGTCCGCAATTCTGGAACCTATGTTATAATATTTATATGCAAAAGAATCACAATTTAACAAACATTGCAACAAATTAATTGTTGAGGAACATAAATTACTATATAGATGGGCAAAAGTACATTTTTGTCAGGGTTATAATTATTAACTAAAACCATAATTACTTGAAATAAACATTAAGTGAAATCATTTTGTATATTTTACTTCAGCTAGCTGCAAATGCAACATTTCTCATTTAAGTACTAAAATACTAAAAAGTTCAAAATTGAAGTACTAAAATAACTAAAACGAAATAGCTACATAGACATATATAAAATATTTAAAATTCATTATTAATAATCTAACAGTAACATTAAAAATAAATTAATCTGAATCATATAATATTTCTTTTATATTAAACATTTTTATATATTATTATATTTTTCTATTACACATGAAGCTTTATTGAGTTCAGAATAGCTGACAGATGGACTAATTGTAATTCAATCTAAATTCATTTGTTACATGTACTGAAATATTGTAGCTCTGATAACATCATCCAGATGAAGCTGATTAATAAACAAATTAATACAATTATTAAAACTTGACAATTAAAACAGAAAATGTAAATATTAAAGCTAATACAAACTTGAAAAAAAAAATCACATTTGAATTAAAAACAAAAAATACAATACTCTGAATTATACTCTACTACAGATTTTTGTATGTACATTTTATAAGCAATTCATTAAAATATTCAGCGATACCTTAGATAATTCTATGCATGTTTTTATAAATGAGCCCAAGCTCTCCAATGCAAACAGACATGAACAGCTAGGTGACATCTGACCAAGACAACACGTGATCTCTAGAATCAAAACACAAACCTTAGCAACTTTACTGTGCAGTACATAATGTGACCTCAAGTCATTCTGGCAGTTGGAATAAGCCATGCCAAGACCCAGTCCTGTCCCAAAGACAATGGGCCATGTCCGGCCTGCACAAACAAATCTTCACATTAGCATGGATGAAGACGCATTCTAATAAATCTGGTTTATACAAGATACAATATAATGTAGGGCTGCACCTGCTGATTACAGAACCGGCTTTACTAACAAAATGCGCATGACAATTGCATTCGATTAATCGTGCAGCCCTAATATAATGTACACTTACGCTTGAAGAATACAACGGAGAACACAATTCCTAGACCCAGACCGGTACCTATAAGAAAAAAATATTATATTACACAATTACCCAGCATGCCCATAATTGGTCTCTTTGGATGCTGGAGAACAGGCGTTTAACATCAGAGCTGTTATTGCATGTTCATGACTAGAATGCTTTATTCGCCAGTCAGCATCCAGAATAATACCTATCCGTTTGATCCTATATCGTATCTTGATACAACTACTTTCATACACTCTCAGAAAAAAAGGTACAAAAGCTGTCACTGGTGCAGTGCCTTTTCAAAAGGTACACTTTTATACCTAAAGTGTACATATTAGTACCTAAAAGCTACCTAAAACCTAAAAGGTACTGCCCTAGATACAGCCTTGTATTAATGGTATTTTAAAGTATACCATGATGATTACCATGGTACATAGTAGAAAAACAGTCCAAAAACCAGATTTAGTATGTATAAAATCCCAGTTACCATCGCTGACATACTAAGGCCCGCCTAGATTAGTAGTAGGCGGTCCTAGTAGTAATTCACCAGACCTTTTTTAATATAACACATAAATAATACCGTAGTTCTCAAAGCCTAATGAGCTTTTAAAACAAAACAGCATTTATAGGCGTCCTAGCAAGCGTCTAGGTCGGGAGTTCACTAGGTTTTGAGCCAAACCCATCGTGAGAGCGTCTTATCAGTGACCCGAGTGCCCTACACAGACGTGACAACATGTCGGCAATTCAAGCTGATTATTAAATCACATGAGTTCTTACCGAATTTAATCGCGCTGTCTGCGAGGCAGTGGTCCCACTTTTGGCCGAGCTCTTTCTCAGACATGATAACGGCGGACGGCGGCAATAATGCGGATGACTTTGGCTTGAAGGCTGGAGTACGCTGTCATACTTTTCTTCCCCGGCAGTGGAGGAGTGTGTACATGCTGCGGCATGGCGCCCCCAGCTGGACAGGCGGAGAAAAAAAATGCAGTAATTAGTGGAAAATACATCAGTATTTAATGGAAATTTGCATTATTCAATAGCACTCCGAAATCCAAGCATATTAATTATAGCTTGATAACCAACTTTTTAAAATTGTATTTTTTTTTTAAATATCATATATCATTTTAAGTACCACAAAAGTACTGGAATAAAAAACTAAGACAAAAATCAAAATATTTCAAAATGTAATTTAACATTTAAACAAATATTTAGAAATAATTTTAAATAATATTATTGTTGGATATTACAGGTTATAAAAAATGTTTAATTTTCATTACATATTTAATTTAAAGTTTAATATTTTGTTGTTAATATTTTATGTTGTTTTTTTGGTGTTTGGCTTAGTGTTATGTTAGAATCATTATTATACTCGTATACCTTTTGTTCTTTAATATTTTGAATTGTTTTTAGCTTTATTTTTTGTTTTTCATTTAAATGTTAAGGTTTGAAATTTTGTTGTATGCATTTGTCATTTTTATTTAATTTCTTTATTTTTAAAATGTGTATAGGTAGTATTTATCAAGTTTTAGCTTTTAGTTTTGGATCTGTTTTTAGTTGTTTTAATACTACAATTGATTGCTTCTGTTGTCCTCATTTGTAAGTCGCTTTGGATAAAAGCGTCTAATAAATGACTAAATAATATTAATTAATATATATATATATATATATATATATATATATATATATAAAATGGAAATTGTCATTAAATATTAATTTCAGCTTAAAAGTGTTAAAATATTTGTAAATGTAAATAGAATAATTATATACTTAGTGAATTGAATAACCAACTATTTACAATTTTAATATAATTTTTTTTTAAAGGATAAACATCATTTTAATATTTTAAGTATCACAAAGTTACAAATATTGAAATAAAAAATCTGAGACTAAAACTAAAATCAAAATATTTCAAAACATTGTTTATATTTTAAATTAGATCATATTTTTATATTTTCTTATGTAGTTAGAAAGATCAAATATTTAGAAAATATTGTTTTAAAATCTAATTTAAAATAAACAAATATTTTGAAATAATATTACATTTTAATCTTTTCGGATATTATGGGTAAACCATAATATTTAAAATATATTTAATGGAAATTTTCATTAGATATTAATTATAGCTTAACAATTATACAATGCAAATTATAAAAAAAAAAAAAATTAATATCCCTTTAGTTTATTTTACATGTAAATTTCATATTTAAATATTTAGTGAGATTAACTGTCACACCATATGATGGTTTCTAGGTTTTAGAAAACTTTAAGACATTCATACAATATCATACTTCATCATTTATCACGTAAACATCAACCTTCTGATGAAATATGTTTAAACTTGAATATTGTATTTTATTTTACATACTGCGTTCTACAAAGTAACAACTGCGGTACATATGATTGCTTTCCTGAGATGAAAATACAACAATGTACAATAAAAAGACTGGCGAATGCTCAGAGGCCATTTTAAGAAGATTCTCATCGCAAAAGTGTGTACATGTTACACGACATACGAGATTATCACATCAAACTGTGGAAAGATGCAACACTGCTGATGCATACAACTTTCTTAATGATACAGCTATCTTCTGCTGAGGTTAGTTAATAGGGCTGTTAATAATTGTTTTCACATATATAGAGTGTACTCCAAACACAATTTAATCATGTGACCTAAAAAGACTAAAAGGCTAAATCAATTTAAGACAAAAACCTCATTTTAAAATAAACTAAAAATGCTAATAGAAATAAAGCCAGAACTGATCTATAATGCACATTTGCCTAAAGTTATTAAGCATCTATTATTAAAAAACTAAAGAGGTGATGCGTCCTTCCTGAACAAAAACATTAGCATCATTAATAACAAACATCAGAAAGTGCATCATGGGGCAGCAGGAAGTTAAACCACCGCCAGAACAGTTCAATTCAACACTAGAGAGCCCAATACAGATATTAATGTCAGCAGGCATACAACTATACAAACTGCCATCTAAAGTAATATTTCCTCTATTAGGACTGTTGTTTCTTAGGGCTCTCAGCTGGGTTTATCTCCTCTCTCTGTGGCCTCACAGAGCTGTTGCTGATGGACAGCAGACCCCTGAGCTCCTTGTTTTCAATCTGCATCAAGAAAAAGATGAGTTACATGAACATACGAAAGCAGAAATGATAAGCTGATGAATTAAAATAAAGCCATTACTTCGAGCTGCGCCAGTCGCTCTTTTACAGAGCAGTAACGCTGCTCATCCATCTGCACAGCTTGACGCATTACTTGACCCATTTCACAGATCCGCTCCAACTGGCTTTGAACCTCCTGGAATAAAGGCTTATTTTAGGTTTCATTCTGCCTGATTTTTGAACATGAATAACAGATGCAAACCTTTAAAGGAATAGGTCACCCAAAAATGATAATTTGCTAAAACAAATGACTCACCTTCAGGCCATCCAACATGTAGAGTTTCTTTCTTCAAATGATGAACAGCTTTGGAGAAATGTAGCATTACATCACTCGCTCACCAGTGAATGGGTGCCGTCAGAATGAGAGTCCAAACAGCTGATAAAAACATCCCAATAATCCACACCACTCCAGTCCATCAGTTAATGTCTTGTGAAACGAAAAGCTACTTGTTTGTAAGAAACTAATCCACCATTAAGATGTTTTTAACTTCAAACTGTTGCTTCCAGCTAAAATGTGAGTCCTGTATTCATAATACTGTTTTCTTCGGTGAAAAGTTGTCTCGTCTGAAGCAGTAGAGAAATATGCACAGATCAAGCATCATTTACAAGCCAAAACTGCCCAAAACAAATATGTGGGTGGATTTTGATGAGAGAGGACAACAGGAGATTGACTTTTTCACTGCAGGAAGCATTATCATGGTTTATGGATTCATATTTCGTCCAGAAGCAAAGTTAAAACACCTTAAAGATGAATTTTTTTCTTACAAACAAACACCGCTTTACGCTTCGTAAGACATTAACTGATGGGCTGGAGTGGTGTGGATTATTGTGATGTTTTTATCAGCTGTTTAGACTCTCATTCTGACGGCACCGGGAACCATTTGTGAGCAAGTGATGTGATGCTAATTTCTCCAAATCTGTTCTGATAAAGAAACAAACTCATCTACATCTTGGATGGCCTGAGAGTGAGTGCATTTACGACTAATTCTCATTTTTGTGTGAACTGTTCTTTTAAAGGGGTCATATGATTTTGCTAAAAAGAACATTATTTTGTGTATTTGGTGTAATGAAATGTGTTTATGCGGTTTAAGGTTCAAAAAACACATTATTTTCCA